TTTGTCCAGGAACGAGAGAGGGATCACTTTTCTCAATTTATTACAGAAGGATTTACCTCTTATTGTAAGAGGAAAAGAAGAGACAAGGTATGCCACATCTTTCATTGATGTCCACTCCTTGAAATACCTTATTGATGGGGTATGCCTAAACATTAGCTCCATATAGTATCTTAAAATGGCATCTTGAGTTCCTCTAGTTTATTCCCAAAATAATGGTAAGGAGGTGGAATGCTATTTGATGCATGTCCTCTTAAAGACTGTGATCATATTACAATATCATCCCTACGTTCTAAGGTTATTTTTCATAGTTGTTATGTCCAAGTTGGAGACTGGCTAAAGCTTTTGTAGTATCTGTTCCTGTTCTTCAATACCCTTCCCCCTTTTTTGTAGGCGAAGTTGCCTAACAGTGGTGTGTTTGTGAGTATTTCTTTATGTGTCTACATGTTCTGGAAGTGAATCAACACTTGCTACTTGACAATTAATTTTTTTTGGTGAAATGGCTTATTTTTTCTGGTCTGTTTAACAATTAATTTTTATCTTATTTTATTTTGGATGTTTATAAAATAAAACAGTCTAGTGAAGGATAATAAAAGGGGAGTGGGAAACTTAATTCTTTGTAGTAGTCTTTGATTAAGACATATATGTTAAACTTACTAGTTATGTGGGAAAAGAAGCAGGGTAACTCATGTACAATGACGGGTTCGGTTTTACTCATCAGATTACTAACTTTATATCTAACACTTGTGGTTTTATAGCGGTGGGAAATGATGAAATCTTTTTCCTGGTAGGTGAAATTACACCTATAATGCTTACAGAAGTAATCTTTTTTCCAAAAGATTTCACATTTGAGTGTTTTAGAGATCTAGAATTTGTTTCATTTTTTGTACTGAATCTCGGGGGATTATCAAGTCTTCCTTTCTTTGATGTCAAAAATTTGGTAAAACCATCAGTTTAAATGACACAAAAATGCCCCAAGGAAAACCTTATAATTTTGTTTAATCAAAGTACAGCTAAAAAAAAAAAAAAAAAACCCTCACAGTGTCTTCCTATGCAAGTTAAATTGTCTTAATTATTAAATATTTAGCTTGAGCGTCCTATTGGCAAATATATCGCAATGGTCCTTCATATTGATGGTGATGTGATCCCCATTTTATCGAATGTAATATTGTGTGCATCTTCTGCTAGGGTGGTGTTGGTGGAATTAGATTTCAAATTACATTTTGAATTTGAATTCTGTTAGGAGAGATTGGTTGCGGCGGTGAAAACTAGCGATGGCTTTGATATTTTCTTTATTAAATGATTCCTGGGTCATGATGATGGAGCATGTTCTCACTCAAAGGCCCTCTGCTAAAGGAGTTGTTATTCTTTTTAGTTCCTCAAGACCTGATTATTTCCAGGCTCACTCTTTGATAAAAGATTACATCTTAAGAAGTTAAAAAGCACTATGGAGTAAGGGAACTATACCTCGTTATGTTTTCAGAGCAACTATAAGTTAATAGTATCTGTTGGGTCATGAAAATGTTGTAGAATAAAGCCTTACCCAGCTTTGCACCCTCCTGAAGGCATTCAAACTTAGCTTTACAAAAGAAGTATTTGCAATCCCAGCTTGGAAACTGCCTTGAATGGCTGTTGATTTCTCGGATGACAATTGCACCATCTCATGTGGAAGAGTAATTAGGTTTCCTCTTGAAGTTATGCTTGCTAATTGTGAGAGAGTAGAAAGGTCTAGCTGCTTAATTATGACATGCTGATGAATATTGTCAATGACCGTATAATTTTATGGTAGGTGACTTAGGTGAATTATAATAATAGAGGCATATGCGTTGACTGCTAACAAAGATAGTTGGTATACTTATAAAACATAAAAGATCTTATCTCCAATATTGCATGCTACTTGTTTTACCCTTTCTCAGCGTCCCCCTACTCAATAAGCATGGTTATTTTCTTAGTTGCCATTCAAGTGTTTGTCTTTCAGTTATTTTTATTATAACTTAAGATCTGGTGGCTTCAGTTTTCACCATGTTAATACCTTTGTTAAGTTTTATACTTATTGGTAATATGATGTCTGTTAATTATTGACCCAGTGAATTTTTGCACAGTTCCCTGTCTTTTCCACTGCAGATATGTTTAATAACTAATTTTATCTTATGTCAGGTCTATGGAAACAATATTGAGATCCAAGCCTTATCTGAAATGTATAATCGGCCCATCCATATTTATTCCTATAAAACAGGTTTTTGAGCTGAATAATGATTTCTGTCTTTCTTCCAGTGAAATTTTCTATTTGCAGTGTTTTGTTAACTTAAGTGAGTTTGATGCAGAACCGATTAATATTTTCCATGGAAGCTATGACACTGACACACCACCCCTACGACTAAGTTATCATCATGGAAATCATTACAACTCTCTTGTTGATCCCCGTCGTCAGACCATCGGTGTAGGACTTGGGTTCAGCCGTCTTCGTGGGGTGAGTGTATGTGCTTAATTATTCTATATTCATCTGGCTTTAATTATGTTACTTCTATACATCTGGATGAAACATGGATAACATAGATGTTCCTTTTCTTTCTGACATGATAAGACTAGGGTTGTATATAAAGGGGAAGGTTAAAAAAAACGAAACTAAGAAATCTGAAGTGTAAACTATTGCCAGTTCCTTCAAAAAGTCTTGTTACTATTTACTGTCACATGGCATGCGCACATAAATATGTTTAATTTATTAGGCTTTCGCTGCTGCCATTCCTAGATAAACAAAAGAAGTTACTGTTATGGGGAAGAGATTTGGGTTCAACGGGTGTTTGGCTTGAGTAAGGTGAATGTTATTTTAAATCTTTTTCGGGGGCTGGGAATGGGAGTGGGGAAGAATTACAGTGGGATGAAGAAAATCGGGGCTGAAAATGGCACCATTCATTCGAAGCATTGTTAGTTATTAGTGCTTCCAATTAAAGTTGTTGTCAAAGAAAGCAAGGATGTGATGGTCACATCACTTGACGAGCCAGCTATTCAGTGGTTTTATTTCTGAAAGGTATCATTCGATTAAACAACTTAATCTAATGTTTCATCTTTTCATTTCTGTAGTCAAATGTTGACAAGGATCAGGTCAAGGCTGCTATTAAGGCTCAACAGGACCAACAAATTGATAATGCAAGTATCCTGATGTTTCTGCATTATGGTTTTAAAAAATACTTGACCTGGAATTTCATGATCGCTTTTTCCTCTCATCTTTACTACTGGCAGGCACTTCTAGCTGAGGGGCGATTTTACTCGGATCTGGAGCTTACTGAGAAAGAAATTGAGCGCATGGTTATGGAAGCTTCGAGGCTTGAATATGCAGACGGCACATTTAAGCAACAACTTGGACGTAGAGAATCTTCCACTTCTAGTGCTGAGCCGTCATCTTCTGGAGCTAGTGAGTTTCCCGTTCCTTTGTTTCTTTCCCTCGCCTCCCTCTCTCTCGTACAGAACTCGGTAGAAAAAATATTTTTATTTTGAGTGTGGGCTCAATTTTAAGGTATTAAACTGCATTTTTGGATGATTTAATTTGGCAACTCTTGGGTACATGGGTGGAATTTGCACGTAGGCTCTGATTAATTCTATGCTACTTGTGAATTTGGGAAGTGTGTTAGTGACTAGAATTTCATATGAACAGCAGGATCATCAGGCAGTGATACTAAAGTTGAAGGGAGGGACCAAGGATTTCAGGATTCGACCCTTAGCAGTAGTGTGCAAGTTGTGCTATCGATGGGGTTCAGCTATCTGCAGGTGATTGAGGCTTACAGCATATTTGGAGATGATGTCGATTCCATGGTTTGTTACTTGTTGGAAACTAGCAGCAGTAGCCGGCGCAAAGGCAAGGCAACCGAATGACCTGGTACAAACCAATTTAGGAACGCTTGCTTCGTTGTGCTGAAACTGTAGTGCTGGTAAAGAAAATGATTCCTATTTAATGGAAGCCTGTGAATCTTAATTATGTAATCTAAGTTCAATCAATAAAATGGAATTACTAGTTTGTTTTTGAGGTCTCGAGTGTGAACCTTTTCGCCCACACTGATGGACATCATAACTATTCTCTCTTTTTTTTTCTTTCCACGCACTTCTCTTTGTTTTTGGCCATCATATTGAACAAATCAAACAAATTTTACGGAGATTATTAAATAAGAGTGTAAGGGAGGGAGAAAACGTAATCTGAGGGTTCGAGGAGCCAATTTAGTAGCTGACATATTGACGGATTTGTGGGTATGACAAGTAAGCAGCAGTTAAGGAATGCACTCGAGTTAGTTGGAGGGGATCAGTTTCCCCGAAAGACTTGGCTGAGCCAACATTACATCGTCCAAACAACTTTAATCTCTACAACTAGAATTTCAATCATTTTATAGCTGTCACGAGAAGTTTCGCTCACAAACATACTAATCGGGGAACACTCTTTGAATACAAGCAACAGTCATTCTGAAAATGAACTAAAAGGGTAAGAAAGAAAGAAGGAAAAAAAAAAAATAAAAAAAAAGGAAACATAGTTTATTTTTCTTCCTCCTTCCCCCTTTATGATGGCTTTTGCTATTAACTCTCTCTAGAGACTATAATTTAGGGAGTTATATTAATTTATGATCTTCTCCAAAGACATATGACAGTATATACATTTTCCCTTTTTATAGTTAAAATTGAACTTAATGGTTTTCATTTATCTATCAAAAAACAAAATGGTTAATTAAATTCTTAATTTTATTAATTGACGTGAATTTGATGGTAGATGTGATACTTTAGATGCATTTTTTTCTCTATTTGAACATCTGTTTTTGTTTTGCTCATTTTATTTGTTTTTTTTTTTTTTTTAGTCTAATTTCTATATTTCATTCGATCTGAATAGTCAGAAGTAAGCATATGGTGTGCATGTGGGGAAAATGTTGCGTAGAAATCAATTCCCCTCGAATAACAAAAGGGCAAGTTTGTCTTTAACCTTTCCTTACGAAGGCGGGAAAATAGAGCGTGGGGGTCAGCAGCGCTTGGCAGTGAAGTGGGCTTGGAACTTTCCAGAAACAAATTATAAACCCAAAACCTCGAAAGTACCCCCTTCCCTTCCAGAACTTCTTCAGAAGAATGCCGGGTCATTTTCGTCATTGTGGATAACAGCGTCGCGGGGTCGCTTGAGAAAGAAGGTTTCATGATCCGAGTTGGACCTTCGCTTTCCTTAAATTCCGCTTCTTCCTCCCAAATTTCGGCGGTGGCGGAGGCAGTGGCGGAGCAGAAACCGAAGAAGGAAAAAAATGTCGCAGAACGGGAAATTGACGCCGAACCTGGACCAACAGAGCACGAAGCTTCTGAATCTGACGGTTCTGCAGCGAATCGACCCCTCCGTCGAGGAAATTCTCATCACCTCCACTCACGTCACCTTCTACGAGTTCAACACTGATCTCAGCGAATGGGTAATCCTTCTTTTTTCTTCTTAAATTTTCATCTTTTTTGCTTAATTCTCATTAATTCCACTCATGATCCAATTCTAATTTCATAATTTTCGTTCTAATTGATATGTATTTTTTTTCTTCTTTCAAATTTCAGAGTCGCAAGGACGTCGAAGGATCGCTCTTCGTGGTCAAGAGGTAATTTTACATTACTGCGATAAATTTCTAGTGGGTTTTGTGTTGTAAGATTTAGGTTTTTTTATTTTTTTGGTTGCAATTTGGGTTTTGGGGGTTAATTTTGTTGCTGTTATCCCAGGAATGCGCAACCTCGGTTTCAGTTCATTGTGATGAACCGGCGGAATAGTGGTCAGTACACTTGCATTGTGTTTTAATTCCCGACCCACGTTGTTTCGCTGCATTTGTAGTTGCCTTGGATTGGAAGTTTTATTGGTATTTGAGAATGGGGTTTATCAGGTTTTTCATGTTACGAGCTGAACTTGACTCTTTTGTATAGGCTTCAATAACGGAAAAGTTGCTATGTACTGATAGTTTAGGGTTTAGGGTTTAACTTAGATAGTAAGCTTAATGTCTCATGCTAGAAGAGTGAAAATATGTTGAAGTAGCGTATGAGCTCTCGGGTGTCCTTCTCTTACAAGCTGGCTTGGCCTGCTCTGGTACCAAATATCATTAGAACCAGTCTCCAATCATTACTGGAGTCTGGAATCTGGACCACATTTCCGAGTTCTATTTGTCTTTTAATTTGATTCCTCTCTTTGCCTCGTGTTAAATCCTATGCATTTGATCCTGCATCTTGGCTTGCTCTATTGTCACTCTATGGTGAATATCTTGTGCTCCATACAGCAAGTGTGCTACATGATAGGCTAATTATTTGAGATTGAGAAATTTAATTTTATTGGCTCGAGGCTTCAAATCTTCTGATTTAGTTGTCTGCTTTTCTAGTATTTCTTTTTAAGTCTATATCTCACGTTTCAAAATCTTCTGATTTAGTTATCAGCCTTTCTAAAAAAAATTTTAAGTCTATATCTCACGTTATTTGGACGTTTAATGATGTTTTCCTTTTAATTTTTATATGGCATGCATTTTATGTTTAATTTTCTAAATTTCTATATATTAAGCTGATCCAGTATGTTTGCATAAGCAGAAAATTTGGTGGAGGATCTCTTGGGAGATTTTGAATTTGAAGTCCAACATCCATATCTATTGTATCGAAATGCGGCTCGAGAGGTCAATGGTATTTGGTTCTACAATCCAAGTGAATGTGAGGAGGTGGCAAATATGTTTAACAGGTATTGTCTTCTTGCAGTTTAAGTTGATTGAAAAATTATTATCTTTGTGCTATTTTTGATTGACACAATCAACAACTTTGTATGGCAGTGAATGGATTTTCTATTACAATAAGGCATTATGTGGACAGTGCATAACAATTAAATATCCGAAGATCTTAAAAGCTTCAATAACGTACTATCCAAAATTTATATCGGATTTCTTTTGTAAGACCAGGAAGAAAAATAGATAGCTCTAAACTTTAATACATGTTAATAACTTAATTCATTCCTGAAATAGATATTTTTACCTGTGTATTTTACTATGTTACCAGTCACTGTTTGAATAGGTTGTGCAGAAAAAACCCTTCCGGGGAATCACCCTTTAATAGTTTCACTCTGTTGGAGTTAAATAATGATGTCTAGTTTTTGTGCAAAGAAATAGTGGAACTTATCTTGTATATGCATAGAATTAGTTTAAAACTTTAAATGCAAGTAATATACCTCATGGTGAGAGAAAATTTAAGGTTATCGTGACGTAGTAGCGCCATAGTTTTGCATACCACTCTTTCGAGTGTTTATTTTCTTATATACTTCTCGTAACTTTAATTTATCGGTAAACTGAAGTTCCGGAAAAGCATTTGTTAGTGTTTTAAATATTGGTTTCTGACATGAATGGTCCTATGGATGTTATTATTGCAACTGTTTGCTGGGATCCTGATTGAATAGAATTTTATTTATCCTTCTTATTTATATAAAAGTTAAAAGGCAAAGGGGAGAATCTCCCAAAGTATATATTATTCTTATTTGCTTTGTTTTTAAATCTGTTCTATCTTTATTTATGCGTCTCCAGGATTCTTAGTGCATATTCCAAGGTACCTCAAAACTCAATGGTATCACCAACAAAGAGGTAATATTCAGTTTATCCCTACTTAGCGCCAATGTAGTTCTTCCTTTACTTCTGAACTCTGGTATTACAATGTTTTTCCTTGCTGACAATAGTATAAAAACTTCTGGCTTTGTATTATTGATCACCTTTTAAGGGTGATATTTTCTTTTTGTATATTGCTGAGCTTGCAAACTTTAGGGTTGTAAAAGTCTTGGAATATTTATTAATATTCTGGTGTCAAGACAATAGTATAAGATATTATGCGTTTATGTTCAATAAGATTTCAAATGTTCAGTTGTGCAATTTTGTAGAAATTCTAGTCAATTTGGTTATGATAACAACTGAAGGAAGGATGTATTCTTTTGTAGTGAGTTTGAGGAACTGGAAGCAGTCCCAAGCATGGTTATTATGGATGGTCCTTTGGAGCCATCGTCATCAACTGCCTCTCATGTCACAGACGTTCCGGATGATCCGGCTTTTGTGAACTTCTTCAGTGTATGTTCTCTTCCTCTTGATGGAGCTAGTTTACTTGCTTAGTGTGAAAAGCTTAGGCACTATCAGGGTCATAATCTAGGATTCTTTAAGCACACAAGTGATGTAGCCATGGAAAAAGTGTAGCTACGCACCATTTGTGTGCCTGGTTTGATGTACTTTAACTTTGTGACTTTCTAGTCATACCATGTGGATCTGGGATGATTCCAACATGACTTCCAAGTTTATAGTATTAAATGTCTAGTGTTTCATGAGTTTCTAATTTTGTGACATTGATTGAGGAATTTTGGTTGCTCTATGCAGTGGTAGAATCAAAATGTTTTGATTTTATAACAATTTCTGCATTTAATGCTAATATTGGTATATTTTCACATTCAGCAATGAGTAGTTAATGTGGGATTGTTGGTTCTCGTCCTTTAAGATAATAATAAATTGCCAATGGAGTACTTCCTAAATGTGCCTGTTTGCCCTGTGTTTTATGCTCATTTCAAGGAAGCATATACTTGGTCAGTGGATGCCTACATATGCATGCCTTAACACAAGCACGAGTCCGTATACAGCTCAGAGGTCTAGGATTGGGTCTTTGACTCTTGTCCTTTCTCTGGAGCAGATTATTTTATGTTCATGCGTAGTGTCATCCCTGCATGTGTATGTATATTGGAGTGAACATACTGATGGATATAATTTTAGGACCGATGGAACATCTTATTCATTTTTCCTAACATTAATTGCAGACGGCTATGACTATCGTGAATTCTTCAACTAAAGCAATTACTGGACAGCCTTACCAATCATCTTCGACAGCCTATCTACCTTCTCATCCATTCGGTGCTGCACCTTCAAGTATTCCTGGCATGCGAATTCCATGTGCTCCACTGACAACTTTATCCCCTTTCGTTGACCTCCCTGAATCCCACAACACCACCAACTTGGCCAGTAATCTTGTAAAGCCATCTTTTTTTCTTCATCCTTCCTCTTCAGCAACAACGATGCCAGCTGTCACTGCATCAAGCCGTGCTGCTTCTCTTCTTCACCCTGCTGTAAGTGTGCAACGTCCATATGGTGCTCCTTTGTTACAGCCTTTTCCACCGCCAGCCCCTCCACCATCTCTCACTGCTGCTTCTTTCCCTCCTAACTATGGGCCACTTAATAGAGATAAAGTACGAAATGCACTCATGCTGCTTGTACAGGTTAGTCTTTCCGGATCATCGTTATGTAGATATATAATTTCACTCATTTTTTTTTTCAGTTGAATAAGATTTGATGTTTGCAGTAATGTTCAAAATTCGTTCACACAAATTGTGGTAAGTGTTTAAAATGCATCACGAACGCTTTGTAGTTTTATGATTGATAAATATTAGGAGCTGATTGTAATTATAGGATATATCAAGGAACGGATATCTAGATTTATATCTCCTGATGCCTTTTTCCCAGGAGACAAATCCGTTTGCATTACAACTTTGAATTTTTTGAATTGTATTGGTCCTGGGTACTGAGTCAATTATCTAGAGTTCTAGACTGAAGTGACTGCTGAGTAATCTTGCGGTTCCTCTTGATTATGAGTATCATTAACCTTGTTCATAGTTTGATTACGAGCTTTGCATGCGTTGTAGGATAATCAATTCATCGACATGGTATATGGAGCACTCCAGAAGGCACACCACTGAACACCTAAAGGAAGCAGCACAGGCTAGAAGCTGGTTTGTTTTTGTTCATTGTGTGCCTTCTTTAAAACGCATGCGTATGATGTATAGGATTTCGATTCTCATTCTCATGAGAGGGGAACTTCGATATAGGGGTATGTTGAGTTTTAAATTTGTCTGTGCCATGTAGTTTTGAATGTATGTTTTTTTTGAACAAAAGTTTCTGGAGTTAAAACATAGTCTAAAACGAATTATCAAATAACAAAAACAATTAAAGGCAAATTGCGGATGGAGTTTGAGTTATGGCATTGGCAAATGGTTTTGTACTTGAATGTAGATGGGCGAGTTTGTCAGGTAAATTGCATAAACATCATCTCAGACTGTTGGGTGCGTCCGCAGTTACGACCCAAATGTGGATGTACCGCCGCGTCAATTTTTAGTTATAAATGTTATCAAATTCGCATCACATGAACCATTGTTTTAGTGTTTTTTCGCTACTTAATGTCCCCTTGACGACTTAGCTTAGCTGTGAAAACCCGTATTTTCAAAACCAAGGTTATCCGCCAAGCCCTCCAATGACTATTTGTTGCCGCCTCATTCTCATCTCTTTTCTTTCACTTTTAGTTTGAAGAAGAAGAGAAAGAAAGAGAGCTTAGGGATAGAGGGCTCGATATGTGGAGATTGTTGCTGTGCTTTTTTGGTCGGGGTTCTAGCTATCGATCGAGATGAGTAATTTATGTAATGTGTTCACAAACTTCTTATTTTCAAAATAAATGAAAATCATGAACTATCAAGAGTTTTTCTCTATTTCTCATTATCTTTATCTACTTTCAAGTCAACCATGTTTGAGTTCATATTTGCAATTCGTATGTATACAATTTAAGTGTGATTACTTGGAAATTTTCATGGAGCATGAGAACTTCAATGTTGGGTTATCCAAAGGATAAATGTATTACACATAGATACTTTAGGGCAGAATGACCAATATAGGGATCACGCGGTGAGATACATTTTATGAAGAATAATCAACATTGAAGGGATATGAAATTATGTGGATACAGTTTTCGATATAATTATTATGTTATTTTCTAGCGTGTGTAAAACAACAGCGCTTGACTGACATGTGATATATTATACTAAATATGCGATGGTGGTTACTCACCCCTTACCCTTTATTTTTCAGATGAATTATTTGTCAAAATACAGACTAGAGGAACTGAGTTTATGTCAGATGAGGGATTTTAAGAATTCTATTTATTTTTACTAATTGTAAGGCTTTTAGTGTAATTTGCATAAGAGAATTTATTTTTAACCAATTTTTGAATACTTTTCTTTTTACTTGTATTCAAACACCGGGCGCGGATTAATTTTTTCATTGACCTTGGGTCTGCGGTGTGACATTAACATAAGAATTTCGCTGATTAAAGATTGTGCGAACAACTCTATACTCATGAATTATAGACTTCTACTTAATCGTGATTCTAATCCATAAACATCTAGGAATCTTGAGCTTGAAATAGAAAACTACCCTTGAAAAATTGTTTATCGTTGTAGTTAGTATTATTACGGGAATGGTGTAAACTAGAAGTAAGAATCTTATAGGATCTAGAATATCCTTTTTTTTTTTTTTTCATGTAATTCGTATTACTTGGAGGGAAGTAAAGCTCGTCATGATTAATATAAATAAAGGCACAAGGTCAAGAGGAAATCAATTGAGCCAGACAACTAAGTCCCTTCTTCCATCTCTATGTTGTCATTTTCTTCTCTCTCTAATATTATTCACTACAACATGTTATCAGCTTGAAGTATATTTCTAAACTTGAAAAGAAGAATCGTTGACGTTGTGCTACGAAGAAGATTCTTCTATGAACAGTGATAAAAGCTTTATTAGCTAAGTAATTATAACTTTATTTATGTGAATTCGAATTATATATCTTGCTATGATTGCAGTTTTAACGGGCAACCAATATCGGATTGGTCATACCCTGACGTGTGCATTAAATGCCAATTGATCATCTCAAGCATGGATATTGCATTACTCACCTTTTTTTTTTTGTTTTTTTTATTAGACACCTTTTCTCGTTAGACTTAAGGTTTCTCCCATTGGATTTATCGTAGCCAAATTTTGGTGAGACGATAGTGTCGCCGACACGCACGCACCGCGCAACAAGAAAATCAAATCTCCCTCTCTCTCTCTCTCTCTCTCTCTCTCTCTTCTTGAAAGAAATGGCGGCTTCGTTAAGAGGCCGAATGTCCAATGTCCAATAGCTTTCTCAGGAACACCTCACATTCCATGTCCTATATCTCTCCTGCCCACTTTCTCTTCTCCAGGGGATTTTCTTCCAAGCTTTTCGTCAATGGTTCTCTCTCTCTCTCTCTCCACTGAGATCTTTCAATCATCTCAGACAATTATGTCTGTAGACATCGAAATTTCAGTGAAATAAATGTTAATCAAGGTATTAAAATTACAACATTTATTTATTTCACCTACATCACACACTCATTTCACCTACAACTTCATTTACTTCACCCTACCAACTCCATTTACTTCACCTACAACATCCACTCACTTCACCAAAAAAATGAATGGTGGTGATTCACTCTCAAAGCCTATAAATAGGCTTCTCCATCAAGAGGAAAGAACACCAATTCACAAATACATTTCTCTACTCCCAAAATGGAAGAGAATACTCCCCACACACACAAAGACCAATTCACAAATACATTTCTCTACTCCAAGACCAATTCACAAATACATTTCTCTACTCCCAAAATGGAAGAGAATACTCCCCACAAACACCAATTCACAAATACATTTCTCTACTCCCAAAATGGAAGAGAATACTCCCCACACACATCCAAATCCTTGAAGCCTTAAAGTTCTAAAGCTCTCAAGAAAATCCCGAAGGATCAAGAAAGCACTCTTCGTTCTTCGTCAAATCAACCTTCAAGATCAAGCCCAAAAGCCCTTGAAGAAATCCACACAACCATTATTCAAGATCAAGCCCCGACGGCCCTTGAAGAAAATGTTCATCGTTCATTATCTGTTCATCCTAAGATCAAGCCCCAACGGCCCTTTGGATCAACAACCTCAACAAATTCACACATCCAATCGTTCTTCAAGATTAAGCCCAAAAGCCCTTGAAGATCCGTTCATCCAAGATCAAGCCCCGACGGCCCTTGGATCAACAAACAAATCCACACATCTATTCTTCAAGATCAAGCCCAAAAGCCCTTGAAGATCCGCTCATCCATCAACCTTCAAGATCAAGCCCCGAAGGCCCTTGAAGAAACTTCCATCAACCTTCAAGATCAAAGCCACAAAGGCCCTTGAAGAAACTTACAACTGTTCATCCAAGATCAAGCCTCGACGGCCCTTGGATCAACAAATCTACATCTTACGGAGATCGAATCAGAGGACCAAATTTAAGAGATCGTAACCCAAAAATCATTAAACACAAAATATTACTTTGTGCACGTATTCTTGTATTCTTGTTTCAGGAATTTTCCGTGTTCACAATGTCCAATGAAAAAGATTTGATTTTTTATTTCTCTTTGTAGACCCGTTTGCAGATTAGCTGTTTGTTGAATTGCCTCTGTAAATCTCCTTTTTGGGTTCGACAAATTGCCTGTATGTAGTTTTTTTTTACTACTAGTATTGTCTCAATTAACAAGGATTTCTATGGTTTGTGTTTATTTCGCGTAATCGGATTTAGGGTTTGTAAACTCATTACTTGGTATTAGATTTTTCGAAAACCAACGGATTTCGGAAATGCCTGGAATGGAGGAGCTATTTTGACTGGAAAATGAAATGGAAATCTCTCTTTGATGGAATGGAAGCTTAAATATATGAGCATGGTTTATTTGAAGTCATCATAAAGTTCACAATTTGAACTCGGGAATGCATTATGATGAATTGTTAAAATCCTTCTTCGGCCTTACCTTTCGAAACAACCATAGTACTCGGGTATTTGGCATCCACACGAGCTTCTACGTTACGTGAAGGGTAGGGCAGGTTTCGTGGTTGTGACTTATATGATCAACACTGTGGCTGTTTTGTGCATCGTCGTATTTATATTGTTTGACACGGACATTTTTATCGAACTTGTGTTAACCAAGGGTTGTATCTCGTTAGGTATATCATTTGCCACCACTGAAAAATCATTAACTGAAGCATTTTCGCCATTTGGAAAGGTCGTTCAAGGTAATGCCCTAATCTTGTCTATACAAGCTTAGGCATAATTTTCTATATTAATAAGCTGCAAATTTCAAACATCCTGCTATCGTTATTCCTTTTCAGTTCACATATCGCGAAATGCAACTACAAACAAGTCAAAAGGATTTGGATATATGTGACCTTTGAAAGAGAAGAGGAGGCCCAGAACGCTCTGACGAACATGAATGGGAAGGTAAGACTGCATTAGTTCTTTTCTCTCACTTCAGTCCGGGGATGTTTCTTGACACTACTATAACTACTTGCAGATGGTGGATCAACGCGTTATTTTCGTTGACAAAGCAGGGCGCTACACTCGAGGGGTCTAAAGTGCAGGTCGAGAGAAGTTATGTTGTGCTCTGTGATAATTTTAGGTAATATTGCCTGAATGACTAGTGATAGCTGGAATTTTTCTGAAAGAATTTGAGGTTCAAATAATTTTTAGTTCTGTTTGAGATATTACAGACTTTTTGTAGCTTGGGTTAATTGAAATAATCATTTTAGGGTTAAGTTTTTGAAGGCATTTTAGTTTTACTTGAAATAATCATTTTAGGTACGTCCTTTCATTATTTTTTTTTAATAAAAAAAAGGCGAAATTCCCATTTTAAGGTTAAGTTTTTGAAGGCATTTTAGTTTTACTTATTTTACACTAGCCCTTTAGTACTACAGGTTAGTAGTATTCATCTTCACTTGTAAGTGAGAGGATTTAGGTTCAATTCTCACCAAAGACAAATTTGAACCACATTATTGCTAGCTCATTGTGAGGCTAAACCCATCCCTTCGCTAGGCTTGGGAAATAGGTCGTGTTTGCCGTGTTCGTGTAACACTTGGTATCTTAACGGGTCGTGTTCTTTCACACCTATTATGTTAACGGATTCTTAACATGCCAGGTTATTTTACCCAACAGGTAAAATGACCCCATTAAGAAAAATATTTTTTTTCTTCTAAATTTGCACATACCCCACTGCCACATAAATATTACTTCAAAAACTAATTTGAAATGAAAAACCCCAAATTAAAGAAACGAAACCAATCTTAATTCGAAACCTAATTCGAAGCAAAACTCTATATTTTGGAAGTAATTCGAAAGAATCAACAATTACCTCGATCAATGCTCGAGGTTTGCTCAATCCAGAGAAAGAGAATTGGAGAAAAAAAGTAGCAAATCAACTAGTGGTAGGTTACTAGGTCATATGTGGTGACAATGGTGTGCTGGAGGGAGATTGGAGAGGTTGGAAGTGGACTCGTGGCTGGCCGGAGTTGAGGTTCGAGACTAAGATTCGAGAGTTCAGTTTGAGAGAAAAAGGACATCTGCTTTGGTTCGCACCTTTGAGAATGCGAGATAGTCTGATTTAGGGCTGAGAAAAACATTGGACGGTTGAGAATAGTCATCAATTTTCTAAATTTAATTTAAAAAAATATGCATACACACACACACACACACTTTAACTTTCAATTCAGTTAGGGATTTAATCATATTGTTGTTAATTATAGTATTTTTTTTAGTGGTATAAAATTGTTAAATTAATATTTTTCTTATCGTGTAAAAGGTTACCCACATGTATATCTGGACCAACTCTTTATTTTAACAGGTGTTTATTGGGTTACCCGATAACGACCCGAAAACTTATTAATTTCATGTCGAACAGGTCATGTCAGAAATTACCATGTCTACCCCTCGCTCTTAGTGTGGATGCTAATGTTGCTCCCAAAAAAAAAGCTTACCCAAACCAAGAATGCAAAAATAAAAAAATTTAAATTTCGTACCAACCTTTTGAGTATCTAAGTATTGACGAAAATATAAGGGCAAAAAACTCATTTCACACAAAAATTGCAGCAATTCACACGAAAAATGATAGCCAACACCTTTTATATTCCCTAAACTAACATTCATGTTTAATTTTGCTTGTTATTTCCATGTGATTTATTTAGTTCAATAACCGTTTAGTTTAATATCCACAAATAAAGAGAGGTTGTACGAGTAAAAAAAATATGAGATTGTCATTTTCCTTTACGCTGCTTCGTTGGACATCTCGTATTGTACTCACAGTCCCAACAAACTTTTTCAAGCCGTGATTTTTAAAGTAAATACAGTAAAACCTTTTTAAAGTAATACTATATAATGGAATAACCTTCTTAAAGGCATAAAAATATTTCGGTCCCAACTTAGGATCAGTTATGTATTGCAATAAACTCCATGTTGTAATAATGTATAATTTTTCTTGGTCACATGTTAAGGAAATATGCCTCCACATAGCTTAATTATCAATGAGTAAAAAAATATGCAAGAAACAAAATACTTGGCACCTAAGGAATCCTATTTAGGAAATACAACATTCATTAAGAATAAATCAATCAAAAAATAATCTCTTTTTTTTTTTTTTTAACTACACCTCTATTAAGTCATAACCTCTCTAAAGTTATAAAATTGATTTGGTACCAACTGTATAACTTTAGAGAGGTTCCTTGAGATACCGTTAGGTACGCAGATAGCGAGGAACGAAGGTTTTATGCTATGTTTGGTACGCACAGGATGAAACGGGACGATTGTTCTGTTTTGCGTTTGGTAAGCACATGGCAATTGGAACAAAAGAGTAAATGACTAACTTATCCATATTTCGTTTGTTGTTTGGTGCAATGTTTATGCTATGGGATAGGACGGGACAATTTTTTAGTTGTTCATATTTCAACACATATATGTTTATCTATGATATATTTTTTACACTAGCAAATATCAATACTTTTTTCGTCATTTTATTAATTCATTTTATCAATAGTTTATTATTATTATACACACCTTTTTACTTGACTCTTTCACCCCCTGTTTCTGTATTTTCTCTTCTTCCATACGCTTCTTGTTCTTCGCATGCCCACATTACTCCCAGTAAAAATCAAACTCAGTAAATCAAACCCATACTTTCTCTTCATTTCATTTTCTTTCTCTTCAATTCAAACCCATATTTCTCTTCTTTTAATTTCTTTCTCTTCAAATCAAAAACAGAAAAATCCAAAATTGTTTTTTTTCAATTTACAAGGGCTTCGTCGGATCTTCGAATCTGCAAATTCATTTCAATCAATTTCTGCAGCGTCGTCATCGTCGTCCTCCCTAGGCTTACGATGACAGCCTTACTATGGTGACGGCACCATAGAAGAAGGTAGAGTGCGGAGGGACTGAACAGGCAACGGTGGAGGAGCTTCGACATCATCAGCGACGGCTTTGGTCTCCTCTTCGCGCTTTTTGTCGTCGTCAGAAGAGGCTCGATAGTGCTTGTTATACGAGTCCAAGGCGTCGTTGGCACGGTCTTGTCATGGGACTAGCAAAGAGGAGGGAGGCAACATGAGGAAGGTGGGTTTGGGTTCAGATAGGTTTGCTGGGATTGGGTTAGCCATGGTTAAGTTGCTGGGTTTATGATGGAGGAGGAGGCGGCTACAGGAGAGAGGGAGGGTAGACAGTGGAATTAATGAAAAAGAGGGGTATTGTTGTCCAAAACAATTATAATTTTGTGTTTCATGGGCTGGAACAAGTTGTTCCAAGGGGAAGGTGGAACGAAAAAATGACTACAATTCGTTCAACGGAACAACGCGTCCCAAATAATTTGGTGCACCAAACGTGGGACGAGTGCGTTCTGTCCCACTGCGTTCTGTCACATCCCACGTACCAAACGATACCTGAGATCACTTAGGATCTGAGTTTTATCGTAATAGACACATTAGTAAAGTATCATAGTTAAATTTTGACATTGTTACCATTTAGGCTATCCCCAACACAAGGAGCTAAAATCTCAAAATTTAGCCCTGTATTTTCCACTATTCACCTATACATATTAGGTTAGACATTTTTTTTTTCCTCCAACGGAAAGGAACCTATAATTCCCACCCCAACTTAATAATTTGTTAAATTTTTGTATTTCATTGATTTTTATAATTTTGGAATTGTTGTAGGGCTATTTGACTGAACTGTATAAGGACAGAGAGGGAGAGGGGGCTAGTGGCAACAAGAGAGAGAGAGAGAGATTTAATTTTGAGGTGTGTATTGTATCACCCCCTTATGCCTTTATTTCTAGTAGTAGGATAGGTAGAATCCATACCCTTTTAGGATTACATCTCTTAATAGGTAATCAACTCCTAATATAAATATACAAGATACTCCTAGATACACTAGGATTTATACAATCACATTCCTAATCTAATAAGATTGCAACATGAATTAGTTTTTGTATAATTTATCTCGTTTTATTTTTAAGAACATTTTGATGTAAAAAATAAAATAAAAAATTCAAACTCCAAACAAAAAAAATGGTTGAGAAAATTGAAATTCTTTATGGATTAGTGAACAAGCGGTTGTGTATTTATAGAGTTTTAGTGTTGGATCTGATTTGGATTAATTAATAACATTTTAACTATTGGAGTTAAATTTGAGTCGTTGGATCTTTTTTGTTACCGTTAAAAGTGATTAAATTGAATTTGAGCCGTTTGATTTAAAAAAAACGAGTATTTGTCATTTTCCCCCTTAAACTTGCAAAGAGTTGCCAATTTCCTCATGAACTTTAATTTTAACCAATTACCCCATGAACTTTTGTAATTAACCAATTTACCCCATGATGTTAGATTTGGGAATTTTCCATCCAAATCAGTCACATGCGCGCCAGAGTGGATCAAAACTCAGGAGGTGCGCCAGCCACTGGATCTGGACAGCGCGAGCATCTGATCGTAGAAAGCCTACTGCCGGTGCACTTACCCGCAGCCAATCCCACTTGCAACCTTATCCACCCGGTGTGCGAAGCCAAAATCCTATTATTCCCGACCCCTAAATACACCCCTTGAAGAGGTTTAGGGCCCAAAATTTGTCTTTTTGTTTCCCACCCCTCCCTTAAAAATAGCCTGAGGTATGATAAAGAAAGTAACATTGGAAATACTCTAAAGCAAAAAATAACCCAACTTCAATATCTCAGGCTTCAACCCGAATTACCAACGAGGTTGAAACTGTTAACACATTGTAATCGTGCACATGTTCATTACAACTATGAATACCAAATCACAAGCAAATGCAGAATCAAAATGGACAAATTGTAATTTTCAACTCATAAAAACACATCCTACTTCACATTCTATAGGAGTCGAAGCAACAAGCAAACAAATCGGGTGATAAAATTGATCACTCCAAAATCTTTTGCTACTCTAAGATCGTGTTGCCTTCTAGCAAAACCATAGAAAGATCTCTATCTTCACCTCTGCCCTTCTTTATTCGACATCCGATTGAATTCAATTCTCATACAAGTTGCCAGAAATATTACTTGGATAAAATATGAAACGTCAACAAAAATAATTCTCAGCTGCTTTCTGGCACGATAAATTATAAGCATCTTCCTATAACGAACAGCTGAATGATTCTCGTGACATGAACTAGGCCAAGACATTGATGGAACCACTAACAAACTAGTCAATAGTCGTTTTAATCTAAGCCAGAGAATCTTCAGTAGCAAAAAAGCAATTTTCTGGCACAATCCTACCTTCGGTGATCAAGCTGTTTTCACTTTACGTGAGGGAGGTCGTCGAAACAAACTGATTAGATCATCAAGACCCTGTCAAAGAGCAGCACAAGCAATTCAAAAAATTCAGATATCTGGGTCAATTCCATTCAATCTACTACAAGTAAAATGTGAAAATGGCAGAACAAATATACGATGCGTTGCTATAGGAACAATACCCTAGTTGTGATGACAAGGAAACTGAAAAGTACGATCAAGTATGATCCCAACACCAGAAGCAACAGCAAATCGAATGTCACACTAGCCACCTGAAATAACATGGTTACGCTGATCAGTCTTTATGCCAAAAAAGAAATGATGAGTAATTAAAAAGATAATGCGACATATGACAGAATTCTTGAACGCTCCTACCAATTTTGCAGTAGGACAAGCTTAAGAGGCCCTTGGCTAGGGTTCAAAAATCAACATAAAATAACACAACCAAACAATTTTCTTTTTTCATATACACAATTAGTACCTGATATACGTTAAGTTTAGCCCTAGTTGAATCATAGAAAGTAAACATCCCGTCAAGCACCTCATGCTGCACGTTCACCTCATCTGTATTGTCTTCCAATTCCTGTCGATAATATCAATTCTGATAAGTCACAAAAATATACCAAGGAAATGAAAGGGAAATAAATTTTATGTAAGACAAGGTTTAAACTTTCCCCTTTGATCTAAGGTCTCTCCCTTCCCCCGTTTTTTTAATGATTTCCCTGTACTTGATTATCCCATGGTCTACCACACAATATATACCCAACCCACCTACAATGGCAGCTTGAAGCACACCAGGTGCTGCCCCCAGTTTCTTTAATATCTGTGAGAAGTTTTGCAAGCTCGCAGTTTGATCACATGTCACGATTGATCTCTAAATTTAGGTAACTTGGAACTCAGAAAGCAATTTATTTTAAGAAACCCAAAATTTTTATGAAATATATTTGCGTATTCCCACAATAACATGTTGAGCCCAAAAATGAAACTTATTAACCCAGCAAGGTATCATTCCCAAACTTCTGAAGGTTGAGCTCAGAAGACTGTTGACAATAGAGAAACCTTAGATGCTTCCAACATATTCTTAACTTTGTTCTTTTTCATACAGTAAGAAAACTAGAAAACATCTGTAAATAAATATTTAATAAATAGTGAGCAACTTTTATCATAATCTCAAGGCAATTGTGAATGGTGAAGATATAAACCATGAAATGTTCTGTAAAATATAAACATAGTATAACCTTCTTCAACGCCAAGATAAACGGGTCATTCTTTGATAAAAATGGTGCCACTCGAGGTGTTTGTGACAGTAGATCCAACCACGATTTTATGTAAGAAGGATTAACTGCTAAACTACTGTTGTCTGCAAAGATTTGAACATTCTTTCCTTCATGACCATAGATATGCCTCTGAATACAATATAGAAGGAAAGAATACATTAGAGATTATAAATAATTAAGGTCAGCAATCACTTACTTCCAACCCATTTAGTAATTTTTCTAGTTAACCATTTTAAATTCTATTGGACAAATTTAACAATTCATATTCCAGAATTCGAAATGTTACACACTTCTTGTTCAAGCAACTATTACCACATCAACGCTAGTTGATGATGGACCTGAATCGACTGCATCCATGAATACAGACATCACTAGGTTATAAATCCTTCGAATTCTTATATCGAAGCACATGACAATCACCAAGTGCAACCGCTTTTACAGTGTTTATGACAAGTGTCTATATCACATAATGCCAAAGTTTCTAAGTAACAAGATGCTGGAGTTTTATCTAGATGGACTCCATTCCTCTCAGACCTACAAGTCTAATTGTCAAATATCCGGAATGTTAATAAACATAAACAGACAGAAGATTCCACAAAAGCTTCTCATTCTTCAAAGCTTCAGGTATCTAAGAAGCATTGCTAAACATTATATCTCCTTAAACATGACAAAAGTAGAGAAAGTAGAAACTTACAATCTATAGTATAACCACTAACACCATGGTTGCATTCTTACAGAGATAGTACAAGAACAAAGAGAGAAATATGTGAAAAAGGATAACAGAGTAATTTCCAGATAGATTAACCTTACCGCAAGGCTCTCAGCAACTAGCTTGACACTTCTGATGATTGCAGTTTCATTCACGAAAGGTCTGCACAATCCAAGATATCAGCAAAAGACCATTTATTCACAGGTTCCAGAAGTAAAAGACATGGGTCTAAGAGAAAATAACCTTCCATCAACAAGACTGCCAGTGCTTTCTAACAGTTCAGGAGCAAGGGGGAGTTCAGAAAGAGTGGCAGCAGTAACTCTCAGCCGTGAAAACTGTTCATGCTCCCAAGCTACCTACAGCAATAAAACAGTTTATCACCTGATATAAACAGTAGGGTACAGGAGTGCAATGAAGACACAGCATGTTTCTAGCAATGGATAAGTACTTTGACGAAGATGCACCCTGATTGATTTACAGTCCCACAAAGACACAACATTAGTAGTGTCCTGTTTGGTTGCAGCAGCATAACATATAATTTTGAAGACAAACCTACAAATTGCCTGTGTAAGGTGTGACCTCAAGATAGACTGAACAAGCAAAATATTCATGTTGATGATCAGTAAAGATGTCAATAGATAAAGTTTGCAATGAACCCCATGCAAAACCTAATAATTAGTTTGATTATCCTAGAACCAGATAATAGAATTAGGGGATTCTCAACTCTCAAGTCATAAACATTTTCCATGAAATTTCAGTATAAGAAGATATTGAGCCCTGAGAATTTCCATATCAAAGCCAGTAATGAAAATGATTGCGGGTATCATAAAATTCCCCAGATACAAGATTTTCAACCAACCCAGAGACCAGGTTTACCATCCGAGGAAAACCACTGAGTTATAATAAATAATAGTTTTAATGCTTCCAAGAATAAAGGGCAACATAACCAAACATTTTTCCTAGTTTGAGGCATTTAGCATTGTACTTAACCATAAAAAACTCTCATAATCATTAAATTGTTATAACATAACGAAATATTCTTAGTTCACCAAAAAAAATGGTACTTACTCGGGGATTTGAAATATTTATCTTCTTGTGCTTCAGACCAACGTTAAGGCCCAGTTCTTCTGCTACACTAGAGAAACCCTACAGCAAATCCCACATTTAAAAACTCAAAGTAAACAATTGTAGTATATTCTGTACAACTTTATTAGCTTACTTCAAAAATTTGCTTTATGTAGGCATTTTCCGGAGGCTTAGACACATGAATCCACAAGTCATTGTCCCATGAGCCAATACTATTCAAGCAAATAGCATAGTCAATACTCTCACGCTGGCGTTGATCAAAGCTTCGAAGCCACTGTAATACGAAAATAATTAAGATAATCATACACAAGATAAACAGAGGAAAAAGATTTTAAGTTACTTAGAGAGAAAATGATAGCTTTAATAACCAGGAAGAGATGAGCACCTTATGAGTTCCATTGTAGTTATAAGGTCCTCCTGATGTTAACCCAAAAAGTAAATTATACCTTCCTCTTGTCTTAGGATTGGAGTAAAGAATAGAAAACAACCTAGCAATCTCAAGAAGTGCCACAACACCGCTTCCATTGCTATCACTTCCCACTGATAAAGCCTATAAACATAAGAAATTTAGACCTTTATGAAGTTTAAAGTAGCTGAAGTTATTGGCAATATGCTGTAAAGTTACATACAGGAGCTGCCCCAAAAGTGTCATATGATGCTACTATAGCAATAGTTGGAAGCTGATTTGCATCTCCATCTGTTTTCAGTCCAGACAACCATCCCTGTAATCATCAAAAAGAAACATTCAATTTCCAAACAAGGTGAAGCAACCTAAACACTATCAACTGCATGTTCAGTCTTCCAATAAAGGGTTTCCAGTTACAATGATGCTGTAATGAAACATTTGCTGATGCTAATTGGAGAATAAGGTTAAAAAGACTACAACTAAAACCGGACTGATGCTCAGAAGTGCGAAAAATATTCAGTACAGATGACATACGGTGTTAACAAGTATTTATCTCCTAATATGAATATAAAACTGAGAAATGAGATAATCTTATCCGGCCATTGAGTTTTACAAAGTGGCGGAATAAATATGCAATGACCTCACTTCACTTTAATGTATTACAATGAGTTACAATGTCAACCAGCTCCTATGCATACTAGAGGTATTTATGGTTGCAACATAAGCTGTCAACTTGTAACTTAACGGGTTCGGAATACTTTTTGAGCTTAGCATAGCTTTAACACCTCTATGACTGCAGGGAAAGACTGCAAAAACTCAAATCATTGAATACAACTAATCAATACATAGACAACCAAATAATTCTTGGGTGACTACTTAAAATTAATATGATAAGCCAAAATCATTAACAATTTCTCCATCACTTAACTCTTTATTCCAGCAGCTAAAATGCAATCCATACAGGAGTAAAGCTTTAGTTGTGTACAGGGAAATGTACCCAACACATTATAAGAGCAGTCCAGCGTAAAGTAGAATTACTAGACACGTTCTAAAAACTAAGCACGTTTTTAACGGAATTGTAATCAAAACCTAATACAAGACTTCGAGCGTGCATTGGACTTACTAGTCATGTCTTAAAGCCTAATGATGGAAAACTCATTTTTGGAATGGATATGAATATTATTGTTAGAAGCCTCTCTTATCATTTGATGTACTAGTCTTCTTCTTCATCATCATCATCATCAACAATATAATCATGTCCTTAAATACTCTGAGAAACTCTATTGCTACCACAAACTCGGGGTTATTTTTGTTGCCATCGATTTTAAGAATGTGCTGTTTATATTTGGGAGAAAGAAAAAAATGCTCATCTTCCATAAAGCTTTGAATATTATACCCCAAACAATTTGATACACTTATACGTGCCTATTAACTTCAATAACAATTAGTTACAGAGTTACAAAGACACCAATTTGGCTTCGCACAGAAATGGTGCATGAATCCTGTAAAAAACTTGGTGAGAGGTCAGACCACTACAGTTAGTGTAGAACCTTGGAGAACTTTATGGACCCAACTACGATGATTTAACATGGAAAATTTGCACCATGGAGCATACTCCTAAATATTATCTAATCTCAAATCCAAATGAAAGAGGACGCCAAAAGCAAAATAAATAAAATGAAAAATGACAAAGATGGTACGAAATAAACAAGAAACTTTTTGAGCTCAAACCTGAATGTTTGTGATGGTGGGTGATGCATGCTTTTTAGGTTCTGGCACTGAAACAACAAGCTTGTATCTGCAAAATTTGACCAGAAAAAGAAAGAGATTCAGAGATGTTCTATGACTAAACATTATCACCTCCTCAAGCTCGTGCAAAACAAGGATATATAAGTATAGTGTGAGTTGCTATTGGCATACCTAAAGGTCCCATTTGGTGGGTGGATGAGATTAGACCTTAGGGATAGGATTGGATTGGTAGGAACATATAAGACAGGACTTGTAACCCAAGTATAAGGAAGGTTAGATAACCCACTCTATTGTGGATTCATAACCCATCATGTCCAGTCCTGTCCATCTCACATTTTGACACAACAAACAATGGACTGGACTCAAGTCCATTCCAATTGGTCATAACCTATCCCAACCAGCCCACCAAACAGGCCCAAAAGGACTGATGCAAACAATGACAATCATATAGTACCACAAACAGAACCATATGTATGCATTTAAAGCACAATTAAGATTCACATATTTTCCTTTAAAAAAGCACAATTGAAATCTGTAAAAATGAGTGGAAGAAGAATAATTAATAAGGGCAAAAAACAGAAAACAAATGAGGACAAGAAAAGAAGCTTAGTACTGTATAAGTTGTACTTGCTTTCTAGACGTCATAAAAAAGATCTCCTAGCAAACCACATATGTATTTTCACACTACAAGTTTCTAGGTTTTTGTTCTCACCCCCCCCCCCCAAAAAAAAAAACAAAAAACAAAAAAAAAAAAAAAAAAAACCTCTTTGCTGTTATGCACAACGCTCTTTAACAAACTCGGTCTCCAAATATTTTGTCTACGGACCTCTGTTCTTTTATTGCCCCTCCATCACCCCTATCCTCCAGCTGGTTCCTAGTAAAAACCAGCTCACATCCTATGGGAATGAATATCCCCTTCTCTAAGCCTCCTATGACCAGAAAGCTGCGCCAAGTTCCACCTTCTGGAAGTAGCTATAAAGTTTATTTATTTTCAGTAATTATGGTTGCCACCCCTCTAGAATCCTGATGAACTTGGAACACAATGATTCTCTGTGCAATCTTTGCATCTTTAGTATGGCATTCCAAGTATAATGATAAGGGCACGAACTCGCTGTAGGGACCACCCTCCCAATGTAACTCCCTCTCACTAGAATCACTCTCTCTAGGACCAATATTTTTGGAATGTCATAGATTTGAAATTCATCAAATTGCAATTTAAGGTGCACACACTATGCAGCTATCTGTCAAATAAGTTCCATAATATAAATCATATAGCAATTTACTAACCCGCCAGTAGTTGCAGTAGCAGGCTGACCAGAGACATCATTCCGCTTGACATCAGCCAACACAGCCTCAATATCATCATCTTCAAAAGCAAAATATACAGGGTACTGTAACAGAACATACCACCACAAAAATATCCTTTAGAAAATATAATTTAACAAACACTTAAATAAGCAAAAAAGTAACTATGACTTTAGAATTACTCCCATCCTAATATATATGAATTCTCCAGACAAACAAAATTCAAACAGTGCATCACAGATAGGAAAGAATTAACATGATACAATACAATTTCATTTATGAATGCTGAATGCAATTCAATTCATCTGAAACTAGAACCTACATATTAGTTTCCCATTGACTATTATAGAAAAAGCAAACTTATATACAATAGAGTGTAATTTTTTTATTTTTTTTAAGATAAAAATAGATTGGAAGCGTAGATGATGTAATAATTAACGTAGAAGGACATTTTTCAGAATCTAATTGCTATTCTCAAGTTCAGTATTGCTGGTGAATGTACTCTAAACACATGCTCACCAAAAGAAAACCATATGCACCACAATACCAAATATGGTGCAAGTACTCTGCTTTCATTGAGGGGTTCAAACTCCAAATGCAAAATACTATAAGGAATGAAAAACAATTACCGGGGTGGTTTACTGGGAAATACAAGAATCCATTGGATTTCACACATTAAGCTACGTAACTAACAAGCAACACCAAGTAGCTGTTGCTACCAAAGCTCTGTTGAGCATATATGCCATACTGATCAAATAAAGTAGCTCAAGCGTATGATTCAGTGGAGGCGGAAATTAGGGAAAAAAGTTAATCATCTATCTTAAACCAAGGACACTGAAAAATTCAGTAACCTATCAACTAATATTCCAACAAACAAGTCAGAAAATAAACATTCATCATTTAATCAATATTTCACAAGTTTTACATAAGAAGGCTTGAGGAAAACTATAGAAGCTAGCTGTCAAGCAATCATAAAGCTAAATACAACAGCATATGCATAGGCACACGGGTATCATAAACAATAACTAGGGAGCTGCAAGAAATGGAAAAATAATTGCCGGAAGGTAAAAAAGGACAAGAAAAAGTTATGGCAGTTTAACTCACAGGTATCTTGGAATGAATAAGTAATTTTTCAAGTTCGGCCAGATAATTCTTCATTGGCACCTTTCCATCAATTTGATGATTACTCGTTGCCCTTTCTCTATTTTCAATACTAAATATCTGGGGCAGCAAAAACAGCAAACCTCCCAGAGGCTGCTTCTGGGTAATGTACTCTGCAATATGATTAACAATCTCGATCAGCAGTTAGAAATCACCAACGGAAAGACTGGTCAGTACTCAACGAACTTAACAAACTCACTTAAATTAGTTATAGTTAAGAAGCAATCAGATTAAACATTCTGCTTAATTTGGTCTTGAGAATTCATATATTTGAAATTCAAACCGCAATATTTCACTTTAACGAGCTGTTAGAGAAGGGAAATCTAGAGCTGCACGTACATTCGATACGTCAAGAACTTATTGGAATACCCAAAATGTTCCTGATCAGCATTTTAGAAAGTAAAATCATCAAACTTAAAGCACTTTTGATAAGCATTTCTGAGATTTACTCAAATCTTAATCTCGAGAGTGGCAATAGTAGTAGTACCAGTGACGAAGGAGATGTTGAGTTCGCGCAAGGGGATGATGAGGACAGTGCGGGAGAGATCAGAGCCAGGAGCAAAGTGCAAAGACCCAGCATGGTGGTTGAGGTTGGCGAGCCGAGATCCGAAAGGAGCACCGGAGATGTCGTACTGGATCAGCCGATACACGTCGACGACGGTGGCAGCGTCGCATAGCTCAACGCAGGCGACGAGGATGAAGACGAGCGCAATCATCGAGTACATGGACTCCAGCACTTGGCGCCCGCCGCCGGGGCCGGCGGGCTTCGCTTGAGCCATAGCCATTCTCCGATTGGGATCCAATCCTCTCTCTCTAGGGTTTTGGGATCGGAGGAAACAAAGAGCAGGTCAGAAGGAGGGAGAGAGAGAGAGAGACGGATATTTGTATTATGTAAATAATAAAATGAAAGAAATCGGGAGGCTCTTGTGTGTGTGAGTGTGTTGGTGGTCGGACTCTGGAGTCGTAGTGATGACAGAGAGAGAGAGAGAGAGGGTTGGGCTAGTTTTAGTGTGCACTCACTCAGCCAACCCTCCCTCTCCTAACTAATTTGATTGATATGTGATTGGTTCATTTTCAATCAATTCTTTTCTGCAATATTCTTCCTTGGACCATCATTTTTCACAATTGAACGGTTGAGAGTTAACTAAATCTTATTGTATAAATCTCGGATGAGAATCCAAGAAATCAATTCATCTTAACCGTTCATTGTATATTGTGCGGCTAGTCTTCGTTAGGTACTAAATTCAAAATAATTTCTTACTGCAAGATGTACAATGAACGAATAAGATGAACTGATCCCTAGTATCCTCATAAAGAGAATCCCAGATAGGATCATGTTCCATAAATATCAATCGTTCATCAGTGTCTTTTGATGCTTAGAAGAGCAAAGTTCTTCTTTCTTGTTTCTGCTTTTTATGTTTTTTATTTAGGAAAAACAATACTAATCTCTACTCTCATGATGTCAGGACTCTATGGGCTCGTTGGTTGTGTAAGACTAGTCCGATTTTGATAACTCATTAGATCCAATGAATGGTGAATAAAAATTGGTATGTGAACTTGTGACCATGGAATACGAAGTTTTTTTTCATGACTTGTCCCTTTTTGATATTTTTGTGAGGATTAGAATGGATAAGTTTTGTTCATAATTTCTTCATCTTTTGTCTCACAGGACAAGATATGCAAGTTAGCATTCATATTTTACTTAAATGCTCACTAAATCTAGTGAGTTTTGTAATGAACAATTTGTTGAATTGCATGAATAATTCATCTTTTTTGGGTTATATACTACTAATGGCATAGGCATTTTGATGTTGAACTTTATTTCAAGTTGAATTTTAGTGTGGTAATAGTGAATGGTTTATATTGAATTCCAAAATAAAGGATTATATTGGTTGCTATATAAATGGTTTATATTGTGATATTGCGAGGCTTGTGTTTTATTATGTCTTGCATATATGAGATGGAGTTCATATCAGGCATTGCAATAATGAGAGGTATGACCGCATGAGTTAGGTGTGTTCCATGGGTTGGTGCCACGATGAATCGAAATGGTTGGGATCACGGTTTTCGATAAGCATAATCAATCAGTAATAAAGACTATCTTTATTTGAGGGACGAATTGGCGACCGAGGGATGGACATTGTGATTTGAAAGAGCAATGGCCAGTGAATGAATGTGTCATGGGTGGTAATTCATATAACAAGACACTCGGAGCCAAAGCATGGTATTGGACGTGTAAGTTCTGCGTGTATCGGAGTATGAATTCACGAGAATAGAGGTGGGAAATTGGGATGAATGTGTTAAGGGGATTAGTTTGTATAATAGAACACTCAAACCATCATGGTAGTGGTAAACGCACAGTATGGGACATATAGGTCCATGCATTTTATTATATGAACTAACGGTATAAATGAAGAGTTTGCATTGTTGTTAATAATGATGTGATAGTACTGTCAATTTATTGTTGTCCATTTATGTCCCGGCTGAGCTTTTGAAGCTCTCCCCTCTATTGTTATGCAGGTTTACAAACTAAGCAGTTGAAGGGGTAGGTGAGATGAGTTCGAATTAGGTGTGAGACTAGAAGCTTTATTTATTTATTGTAGCATTGTAAAGAATTCTTGAATTGGTTAAGAGGAATTTATTTTCCACCCCGTATTTCGTTTCAGTTTCTCTATATTTATTTATTTTTCAAGAGGAGTTTTAGTTTTCTCTATTCATTTAATTTTCTACTTCGTACACCTAACGGAGGATTATTTTTCCACTGACCTCAAGTTTTGGGTGTAACACTTTATCACCCTAAGCAATTTACAATGTTGATTGCTTTTAGGGCATACATCCAACACACAAGCTGTGACATCCCACATCGCCCAGGGGAGTGATCATTAAATGTATATTCCCATCCTTACCTAGCACAAGGCCTTTTGGGAGCTCACTGGCTTCGAGTTTTGTAGGAACTCCGAAGTTAAGCGAGAAGGGGGGCTAGAGCAATCCCATGATGGGTGACCCACTGGGAAGTTGCTCATGAGTTCCCAAAAACAAAACCGTGAGGGCGTGGTCGGAGCCTAAAGCGGACAATATCGTGCTACGGTGGAGTCGGGTCCAGGAAGTGATCCCGCCCGGGCCAGGATATAACAATTGCACACGGATAATCACACACCACAAGGAGACACGCACATGGCTAAGGAAGATTATTAATTTCCTGCGCCTTCTTTATTTGTTGTATTATAAATTTACAATCGATCTAATACGTAATTGGAATTAAGTATCATGTTTACTATCTATTTTCCACTCGTGTTTAATTATTTAAATTAAATTAATCTCAATTACATGCTTAGAAACCCAACACTTCATTTGTAACCACACCACAATCTCCATTGTGTTATACAGGGATTTGATATATAATAAAGTAAGCAACATGAAAGATGGAGTTTGATATAACTGACTCCTCAAATTTCAATACTTCATGCTCAACATAGTTGATGTCAGAATCATAGACGGATATGGACGCAAATTTCCACCAAGGATGAGATGACATAAATCATCCTCCAAAACAATTAACACTGTTAGGACAATTGAAGAACACCCAAGAAAAAGAGGGGAACGTATCCTCCAAAAAGGGAGGAAAGCATCCTTCAAAAGGCCTCTGATGCTTAAGTCCAAATTAGTTTAAGAGAAACTGAACATGAGAGAATTTTGGGTAGCAAGTGGCTATTACCGATCTCCTTGGTTAACTTGGCAATTTGTAAGAGAGACTCCACTTAGGTAGCTGGGAAGCAGGGTTGTAGGAGGTTATTACTTAGAAGAGCACTGGTTATAAATATTTTATTTTATTGTTACTAAACAAAAAAGAACAATCATTGTTACTTAGTTATTCTTAATGAAAAGTTATTCTTCATAAAAGTTGTATGGATATAAAGTATTACATTAATGGTGAAGCATATCAATTTTCAAGATGTAACATTGGAAAAATAATACACAATCTTTAAAAACAAACCAAAAGTTTCATGCCTAAACATGATTGAGAAGTTAGAAATATTTTGAATTCAATAAGAAGGTACCCATGTTACCGAGGCATTACGTACCCGCGACCTCAATACCGCATCATCCACTCTAAAAATAAAGCACCGGCCACCTTAACTTTTATGACATTGAATATTTTTGGACTTATTGACAATAATTACAATGTGGAGTTTATTCCTACAATATATATATTTTTTTTTTTTAACAAATAATATTATCTATATTAAGGAAGAGGATGTGAACTTAATCTCACAATGAGCTATTAATAATGTGATTCAAATTTTCCTTTGGCGAGAATTGAACAAAAAACTCACTTACAAGTGAAAAAAAATATCACTAGACCGTAGTACTTGGCTCCTACAAAAATGCTATTCTTATCACATTTTTCATACCACATTTTTACCACCTCCCTGATAGAGATGGGACCACATGTATCGTGAGGCCTACTTTTATTTGAGGCACGATACAAATATAGTATGAAAAATATAATAAAATTAACATTACTCTTATTCATATATATAACTAATTCAAATTACTACAAGGAAGTTATTCCTTTATAAAATATATCACTATAACGAGATTTTAATGCTTATAGGGCTTAAGAGTTGTCCAAAGCCAACTATATTATATTTTGATTGCACATTCTCCCCCAACATAGAAAATAAAACATTAGCGGAATGGTCTCCTCATCGTCGTGCACAATGATATAAACCGTTTATTATCTAAGTCACTTTTTAAAGATCAACTCGGTAAAAAAATGACGTAAAAATTTGTACAAGATATGAGCATCCTAAAATTAAAAGTAGACGAACAATCTTTTACTGTAGCTCTTCAGAATACTTGTAACTCATGTGACAGCCACAAGACCTATCTAAAATAACTAAGATCATAAGCAACACTGCAACAGACTAGCATTATTTTGACAGGATTAAAGAGAACAGGATCTTCGAAACAAAAATGTCAACTTCAATTAGAATGGCCGAAGCATGTTTTACAGCACACAATTTGTTCTAAACTGTAGGTTTTACGAAACATGCCTCGAGGATAAACTGATGAGTAATAAATTGCTAACATTTGGACAGATCTTGCTGGAGAAACATGATCAAAGTAACTACAGGTACAGCTAACAGAAACTAACCTGAACGAAGAAATCAACCGTGTATCACCTCAGACCACGTTACTTCATTTCACTCTTCAGATTATCTGGAAGATGCTTTTCGTGTTTGGCTATACATAAAGGATATAATACAGGTACTGACGAGAAGGAGAACATGCGGGGCAAAATTTCAGGGAGCGGGAGGCATCAGACTCTGCTTGTGAAATTATCACAATGCAAAAAGCAAATGTTTCGGTCACTTTGAGCCTTCTTCATTATCCGGAAAGATAAATTGCAAGTCTTCGTTATCTCTATAAACTTGATATAGCGCAGCGGCTTTATACACAAACAACCCAAGCATAGCTGGCACAAGCTGTAATGAAGAAGCAGTTGTGTAAGCAAGAAACAAGATTTTATCAGTACGAGCTCTTCAGACATTCTAGGAATGGTCAATGCATAGTTTCAGAAAGAGTTTTTCTATTTATACTCCACGCATCATCTAAGTTCACCACTTAAATGTGTTTTCAACCCTAAAATACAATATTACCCTTCAATTAGCAATATAAAAAACAAACACAGGCAGACGCCCCTCTCCACTGTGGCCTCATCCGCCACCACTACTCTTCTTCCTTCTACCACTGCAGCACAAATCAGTTTCGTGTTGTTTTTCCCTTTGCAATCCCAAATCAGAGAGCTCTATTAGACAAACTTATATATAAACACTAAATAAGTGCCGCTCTGCCATCCACCAATTTATTGGATTTACTCAGAAAAGATCAAGGTTCTAATGCTCTTAATTTATTTGATAGATTGCTTTGTTGTTTTTGGTTCAAATCACAATTTTTCATTTTGGGAGGGACGTTTTGTCTTCAGTTTTTCTGGGTACCGGGTACAAAGAGAAGAAGAGTGGTGGTGGTGGAGAGGCAACATACGAAGAGGGAGGAGGGCCTGATCAGGGAAGGAAAGCTTTCAGTTTTTTTCTTTTTTTTTTTTTTTAATTTTTTTTGCTGGATTCTGTTTTAATAAGAAGATACCTATGGGCTGAACTTCGATAACTGTTGGTGTTTATATAGAAAAACTCTTTCAGAAAAGAATCTGAAGGCACAAGAACAACTTCAAGATTTACCTGGAAATCAAACAGATCACCGGCAAACTTTTGATGAGACAGAATCCACAATCCATATATTGCCGCTGGTATTACAAGCCTTGGAGATGAAAGCGCAATACCACACCCCTTTATCGTTTTCTCTAGAAAATCCTCCAAATCCTCGCTTCTTATTCCAATTCTGGATGAGAGGATGAATGTAAGTTTGAGCAAATTTGCAAGGACTTTTAGCAGAAAGAATAAGAGCATCTTCTACAATAATTAATATGAAGATGTTTTTGGTTTTACTTCTTAGTCTTCCTCTGCCTAAAAATTTGAGGGACTGCGTCTCTGGATATATTGTCTGCTTGCTGGTACAAGAGTTTAAGGTACAAGCAACTGCATTGAAAATGATACAGCCTGTAAGTTAAATTCGAGATAATCACAAACAAAAGGAGCTACATTAACAAAGCGAAAATTCCTCTTTTTCTTCTCAACCTTTTTCTTTCAAAAGAGAACTCTTCACTATTACAGCAAATAATTAAAAAAAAAAAAATACTGATTAACTCATTCACGCCAAACACGTCTTCTCAAGAAAAACATTTACCAACTTTTTGTCAAACATTTTATGAAGAATAGCACTAGCGCATCAAAGTACCATTCTAAGCAACTTTCCTTTTAATATTCTAATCAAGATTGTTAAAATAATTATTAAACCCCCAAGGCAAACCAATAACCAAAAGCATAATACAAATGGAATAAGAGTTGTTAAATCATTGTAGACTTCATTAAACAAGAATTGTGCCTGGACTATTGGTGCAAGCTATAGCTTTAGCAAAATAACCTCAATTTAATAAGTTGTATAAACAAACCTGAAAAGAACTCCCGTGGCATAACTGATAGCGGCCTGTGTGGTTGACTTGCAAGTTAGTTCTCCATACCCAGAAACATAGACTACATTATTTCACCGTTTAGTGTAAACTTAAAGTGAATGAAAGCAATCTACCGTGGAAAATAGGTCATGACGCTCGGGAAATTACAAATATTTGGTCAGCATCAGTTTTCTAATATTCCTGGCACTAATTCCTACATTCTTCTCATCAACTAAACAAAGTACCCCTAGCAGAATTCATGAAAGTATGCCCCAAGCAGGGTGTCATCGGTAAGTTCAAACTTAAAGCTAGTGTGTTTTATTCTTGAAAGGTAATACCTGGGATGACAATGCTATTAAGCAATACCCAGTACATGCAGTTCCAATACCAATGGATAACAGCATTAATTCCCTCTGTAACTGCAGGAAAGGACAGAGAATCATCATTCATTTTTGTATCTGTTAAGAAACACAATATATACAGATATATTTCATGCTGACACCAAAAGGCAACAAACAGAAACAAAGCCTCAACAATGTCAGATGCCAACAAACAGAATAAACATGTACACTTATATATACACACAACAATGTTAACTGCCAACTTGCCAAGTGCCAACCAATGGAACCAAAGTGCACATCCGCAATGGAATTAGTGTAACCAATGCTAGAAAATTTATCATCATACGAACATTTGACAATGAGATAAAGTCAACACGATCAATGGAACCGATGTAAAGCATATCCACAATGTCATTTTTAGTGGAAATAAACCATGCATAGATTTGGCTAATTTATAACAGTGTGACTGATACTTAAATATTGTTATTTCTTTATATAAACATCATATAGCAAGATACTACTCTTATCAATCATTGAATGTTCATTCAACCACGTAAAACATGATATGTGCAATCAAAATACTTAAACTAATGTGTATAGACGTTGCTGACGCATTTCAAACAACAATTTTTAACCAGCAAGATACTCATATTGAAAATAAGTACTCCTAAGATTTACTCAACCATATAGATTTGTTTAGGATACAAAAGGCATATAAAGAGTCAACAGTTCAAAGTTTACTTTGATAGTAGATCCAACGCATGAAAGCGTAAATTTGATTGAACAATCTATTTGAGACACAAGCACACTAAATAAAAATTCATCTTACTTCAATAGATAGCTTCCTAATAGATTTTGTCCTAACAATGTGGTAATTCTATTTGTACAGAAGCGCCCCCCCCCCCCCCCCCAACCCTTCCCGTGCCCCACAAAAAAAAAAAAAAAATTTGCTTAGCCCTCTGTTCTGATTTCATGGTGCCCATTTTACAATTTTCATTAACTTAAAAGAAGAAAAATGAAAAGAAGAAAAAAATACATCGACATAACCCATTGACTTGCAACAAAACACCAAGGAACATACTGGGTTCAAGTATCATACAGCTTCATACTGAAGAAGGTTGAGTTTCCTCCTTCTGTCACTGTCATTCTGCAAGGCCTGTAAAGTTACGTAAGGTAGTAAGGTAACAGAGAAATATCAAATCTCCCCTTGTAAAGAAACTAACTATGAAATTTTCAGCCTTTCTCTTCCTTACTTGTCACAATGGAAGCATAGCAAACATAGAACAAAGATTAGAATGCCAAGATAAGCAACGAAAGTATACCTTAGCTCTGGCTTTTCTATTTACTGGTGCAGATATGTCACCTAGAACCCACTCGTTGGTTGTTGACAACTTCAAAAATCCACCAGCATCATTTTCAGTGACCTAAAAAAAGAATAAGAAGTAAGTAATACATTTTTTTCACTCACCATTTTAAATTTGAAACAAACAAATACAATGCCGTTTTAGCAGTTGGATATACCAAATCCTAGGGCCGGTGAAGAAAAGCATTATCTATAATCTATCTGGAAAATAAATCCAAAAAGCATGGCCCTACAGACCTTAATTATGCTCATCCCGCTTTCCCACTGATTTAATAATCTAAAAATCGTTGCTCACAAGGTTTAAGCCTCAATGGTCAAAACCTGCGCAGCGACTACATTAACTTTTCCTCAGGATTTCATACAACTTTCCCTCTGTAAGTAAAGAAACTAAGAGCACCAGTTATGAAGTTACTCAAGTCAGTTAATGAACTACCAAACCCTTCTGCAAAAATCACATTATCGACCAAAAAATTAATGAACTACGAAACCCTTTTGCAAGAATCACGTACTCTTTTACTACAGTTATGTTACGAAAGAAAGAATGTGCCATACTATCAAACTATAGGCGAGATGAAGTGAAGCAAGCAAGGAAAGAGTTTCGAAAATGCGATTGATCCACTTAAGATGAGATCAACAGAACGAAAATTCAAACCCATAAATCCGAAATTGGCAATGTTATTACTTACCCCAGGATATTCCAAAATAATATGGTTTGATATCCATTTAACCGAACACTCAGGCACATTGACTACAACTTGGGAATGTTATGCAAATCTTAAGCAGCTCCGGTTCCTAAAATTTGAGTTGAAGAAATCTCTCTGTTACCTGTTCTGCTAGCTGAGGAGTATCACCAAATTCGGCACCATCATCAGCATCAGCATCAACAGAATTGGCAAACTCCCGCTTCCAAAACACATCAGAAACTTTTGACACCAAGTCTCCATTCAATTGCCTTTCCTTGAAAAATGTCTGCAGAACGTCCTCCTCTGCAACTTCACTCACTGCAATTCAAGAACAAAAAAAGCAATCAAAACCCATAAATAAGAACTGCCAAATGAAGCGTTTTTATTGAAGGTTGCAGAAATGGAATCGATTTGGGGGCTTACCAGGAGGTGGGGTTGTTCTGAGGGCAGAGACAGTTGGGATTCGATTGGGAAGTGAACGATTAGGGATTGGAAGGGTTCTTGGGAAGGAGAAGGACTCAACCCTGAGAAGGGTCTCCATTGTCCCTATCTGCCAATGCTCTCAGTGGCTAATTGTGTGTTCCGCAATGCAATGGTGAACTGTGAAGGAAACGGGGCTGTTCCATTTTTATTGGAGATAAGGTGGTGAGAGAATGGATTTTTCCCGGCCTAAACCATTCTCCTATCTGAAAGTCTAAAATTAAAGGGTAAATTACAAAAAATTATCTCAACTATGGGTCGAATAATATTTTCATACCTTATCTTTTTAAAATGACAATGTGATACCTCAACTTACGAATTTGTGACAATGTCAGACCTTTGCCAGTTTTCTGTTAATTTCTCTGTTAAGTGCTAACGTGACCCACTCACTAATCCAACTAGATTAAAAAATAATTAAATATATTTAAAAAAATTAAATATTATAAATTAAAATGAGATTAAAAAAGATTAAAATGGCCTAGGGGTGCGGGCCTCCCTTTTCCTCCACCCCTTCCTCCACCCACACCAACCTTCTTATTCTGTTCGACAAACCCCAAACTCTTCCTCGTCCCCGCAACCTTCCCCAACCCACCCCCATGCCCCACCTCTTCCCTTCCCCTACCTCTTGCTGTCCCTTTCAAACCCAAACCCTAACCCTAATTCCCCATTTTCAAACAGAAAACCCTAACCTTCCCCACCCGTCCCCCCAACCTTCCTCCACCACCCTCTCTCTCTCCTCTCTCTCACTCTCTCTCCTCTCTCTCCCTGGGCTACCTGCAACTCTTCCCCCATCCACCAGAACCTCAACAATAATGTCGCCCAGAACGACGTCGTTCGAAGCCAAACCACCCCAAAGCAGAAACCCAAATCCAAGTCCGCCAAAGTCGAGAAGAAGATAATAATGGACTACACGCCATCACCCAGAGTCTCTTCTCTCTCCAATGTCTCGGATCATCCCTATCCCGGAAGCTGACGACGAGGATGACGAAGATGACGCCATCGCATACCCCGAGACCGATGACGTCCAAGAGTTCCAAGCTTTTTCGTCAATCCCAACTCTTCACATTCTGATGCTTAGATCAACGACAAAGATTTTAAAGCCAATAATAATGTATAGGTGTAGATTTTTCCCGAATCCGCTTTGCTCTCTTCAGGTCAGGGCTCCGACACTTATGTCGTGGCATTGCAGGGAAGGGGTCGGGGAATCTGACGACGAGTTTTTGGTGGCAGAGAATCCGAGCTTTGGAATTCCCGACGGCATGAGGCAAAGTAGCTTCGTGAGGGAGGATAGGGAGTTCATGGCATTGGGGACAAAAAGTGTCGACCTTTCGTCAATTTTCGAGCCACCGAAGATAGAGAGATGAGAGATGAGAGAGATGATGGTGTCTGGGTTTTGGCGATGTTGCTGTCCAGAGAGAGAAAAGAGAAAGGTGAGAGAGGAGAAAGGCGTGAGAAAGAGGAAAGAAAGATAGAGGGTGGATCCCACAATTTTATATTAAAAATAATTATTTATTTATAATATTTAATTATTAAAAATATATTTAATTATTTTTTAATCTAGTTGGACTAAGGAATGGAGCTCATCTTAAGCCACGTCAGCACTTAACAGAAAAATTAACAGAAAAACTGACGGAGGTCTGACATTGACACAAATTCGTAAGTTGAGGTATGACATTGTCATTTTAAAAAGATGAGGGATGAAAGTGTCGAGATACCAATAGTTGAGGTAGTTTTTTGTACTTTACCCAAAATTAAAATTAAAAATCTAAAGCCTCGTTTGGTATGCGGAAAAGGAAGCTTGGGAATAAGAAATCGTTTGCCCTTCTTGTGTTAGGTAAGTCTAGGCTTGAAAAATAGTTTATTGACTCATGGAAAATAGGGGGAAAGTGAATACCAAGATGTTGGTTGGCATTCACCTCCCTTTATTGTTACGAGTTGTTCTTAATTTCTCTGTAATTATGTTTTCATTGATGTTAAATTGACCAAAATACTCCGAGAAGGGAATGTTGACTTTTGTTGACCTTGTACTTGTGATTAATGTGATGTGTTTGAACTTGTATCTTAATGTATTCTTGTAGTACTTGACACTACTAATGCACGAACGCAAGCAGAATGGAATTTGGACCCCGAACGAAGATTTTACGAAGCATGTAATGTCAAGGACAATTTGGTAATTTTATCAATTTGGGACACATTTGCTTGTCTTTTTCTGGCGTTGGACTGCGTGCCACTAAGGCCCATGCCTCTACTCTATATCTCTCCCTCTTTTCCTCATTGGGTCACTAACCATAACTCTATCTTCTCTTTCCTCAATTCTCTCACTCCCCCGACCTACACCCATGGAAGATGACAACACCTCCATTTTTCGATGGACTAACCTCCCAAAACAGCATCATCTTCATCCCCTTAATACCACAAACTCAAATAAGAGTTTTGTTTCGTGCAAAACCAAGCCCGAAAAGCTCTAACTCGGGCTCTAATAAAGACGAACTTTCGACAAGTTTTCTGTCCCTATTTCTGTTGAGTTGGAAGGGTTTGAAATCACCAATCAACTTCCCTTCATCCTTAGGTCAAGATTGAATCATTTCTAGTTCGAATCTGTCTAAAAGTAAGAAGATTCGAACTTTGTTTTTTAGCCAAGTTTTTTTAGCCAGTTTTAGGTCATCATCTCTGGCCACTTTTGGACTCCAAGTAGGTAAATTTGTGTTCCTCATCTCTCTAGCTTTGTTTTGATATAAAAAAAATGTGAAATTTGGTTGAGAAATGAGAAAGTTAGGACAATTTGAAAATCTTGTAGAAAACCAACCAAAAACCAATTTTAGGCAAAGATTCTGGTGAAACAGATGGCTACGGCGCTACCCGCATAAGAAAGGAGACAACATAATATTATGTAACGGCATCATGTATTTCGTTACTTTTGACGAAATATTCTTTTAAAGGCGGCGAAAATTCCACTCAACTCGAACCAGCTTAATTGGAGTTAAACCGGTGACCTTTAACGTTGATTCGCGATTGTTGACTAGTCAATGTTGACCTGCTACAGTTGACCAGTCAATGTTGACCTGCTACCGTTGACCAGTCAATGTTGATCAGTGATTCTTTTTTTTGCAGAATTAGTTTGGGATCCCTCCTAGGGTTTTCGTCAGTGGGTGAAAATCCAGGCACATAAGGAGTGTCGTTCATTGTGATTTTGAAAATTTCAACCATATTTTCCTTTCTAGGGCACACTATTCAAGGAATTAAAAATTTGGAGATTGTTAGCCCTACAAAAATTCAAAGGGGAATCTCCAAAAGGAATTCCGAGAGCTTCATCGAAAATTAAATCATACTCTAAATAAAAGCACCAATTTGTGGTAACAAAAATCTATCGTGTTCAGTCTTGACGAATTTGTACATACAAACCAATTTGAAATTGTACCTACAAAATAATTTGTCGTATTCCTTTTATGCTTGATTGACTAGTCAGCAATACCAGTCAACTAAGATCAAATTTGTTAGTTTACCAACAGTGAAAGTAATCAATCTAAAACCTGGTTTATTGAAGTGTTCCTAGATAGCTAAGGTCTAGTTCAGTGCACATTCTAACTCTGAAAAGCTTAGTTGATAGACATATCTATCTGCAAATCATGATGGCCAAAGAGTGAGATATGTAAACAAGAACAATAATAAACAACACGTGGAGTTTTTGGCCGGAAAAACCTATCTCTGGGTTAAAAAACCTAGGACTCCACTATGTCCAATCGACTAGCACAAATAAGGTTCTTACAAAGTACCATAAGGCATAATTTCTAGATCTAATTTACGGAGCAGTTTTACCTTTGTGAAACCTTACTTTGCACGAGATGGAGACATCTTTAGTCTTTACAAGATGACAACTCCTCCTAAACTCTTTGACTTGTGACACCGAGACCAACACTAACAAATGCAAATGAAATGATAATGATGATAGTGTGAAATTTGGATTCAATGACCTGTCAGTTTATTTAGTTAAAAAGTTGAAGGATGAAACCAACGTGAATCTGAAAAACTTGGTCAGTAAATAGCAAGGTTCTAAAAAACACTAAGTGCTAGTCAGGCAGCTAGGCTGGGTCTAAGCAGGCGCCTAGGCAACCTAGGCGGATTTGGGTAAATTTCTTGTATATAATATCTCTGTGTCGGACTTAAACTTAACTTCATCATCATCTTCTTCTTCTTCCTCTTCTTCTTCTGTGTCCTTATCTGATACAAAATCCTCTTCATGAAGTTCTATTACTTCAACATTTCTAGAACTCTTCCTAGACTTTAGGGAACTCCCTACCTCCAATGTATCTCCATCCATCCTAAACCAAGCTCAAGTTCTTCATCACCACCTTCCACAATCCATTCTTGCGCCATACTAGCTTTACTTGCAAGTAGTATGTCCACTTTCTACTCCTTCTCTCTTTTCTTATTGTTCATGATCCTTACATTGAATTGGACATAGACTAAATTATTTAACTTTGTTGTATCTAGTCTATTCCTTTTCTTTGTATGTATACCTTCAAAAGTGCTCCAATTTCCCTCACAACTAGATGAACTTGTAGTCAATGAGAGAATCCTTATAGATATACTTTGCGAATTAGGTATAACATTTCCATAATTATACGACCATGCAACTAATGAAGGAAAAAACACACAATTAGTAATGAAAAATAAGTAGTAAACTCATATTAATAAAAAAAATAAGTATGTGTGAATATTCATACACAGATTATAGTTGTCATCATTCTCAACGCATCCAATCTCGGCCATGTGTCTTCCAAATCCATCTTCTTTACCTCTATACTTATGGATTGAACATTTATCACGTGGTTTTGAACCTCATAGTTATCGGGGAAGAACCTCTCAACATAAGTAAAAATCTCATTCATGACAATTGGATCATGTTGTATGCTTTGATCTTCAAAGAAGTAATAAAGGTTCAAGAAGGAGCCTGCCAAATGTAATGGACTATCAACTGCTCCTCACGAGCTTTTTCCTCAATAATTTGGAGAACTAGTTGATAGTTAGCCTCATTGTTCTTGAATGCCTCTTTAATCTCCATCTTTGCTTTTTGTAGCTCTCCATATGTTGGGGTCCAAAAATGTCACACACCAATCCAACCAAGTCTCAAGTCCCAATTATCATGCAAAGCCTTCATTCAAG